TCAGAAATATGCAGTCAATTATTTAAAAAACAAGATAAAAGGGTCATAAAAATGTGTCACCAATTCATTACCAAAAACAAAACAACCAAGGATCTATAGTGGGTAAGGCCCTAGTTTCTGAGAAGCAGTAAAGTCTGCTAAAAGACTGTCGGCTTTAAAGTCAGATAGATCTGAGTTCAAATCTAGTTTAACCATTAATGAAATGTATAACCTTGGGCAAATCACTTAACCTGTCTAACCTTGAGTTTCCTTATGAGATAAGTGGGAGTAAAATTACATACACCTTATAAATTTTCTAAGAATCAATACAATTACTTATGCAAAGTGCCTCAGATAATATGTCACACTGTGCCAATATTCAACAAATTCCCAATGTACAAACTACAGTAGGCATTGCAGAAGATATCCCCAACCCTCCAGTCAAGAGGGAAGATAAGGCATATTTTAAAATATTATATAAAATGGCAATAAGAAAGAAATTCTGTCATTTGCAACAACACAGAAGAACCAAGAGGATATTGTGCCAAGTAAAATAAACCAGGCACAGAAAGACCACATAATCTCATTTTTATGTGGAATCCAAAAAAGTCAAACTCAAAAAGTAGGGAATAGAATGGTGGTTATGAGAGAGTAGGAGAGTAAAGTGAATGGGAAAAGGTGAGATGTTGATCAAAGGGTACAAAGCTCCATTACAAAAAATAAGTGTTAGTGACTTATTACATAGAATGGTGACTATAATAAGTAATAATGAACTATATATTTCAAAATTGCTAAATGAGCATATTTTAAATGTTCCACCACAATATACTGAGAAGTACATGAGCTGATGGATTTATTAATTAGCTTAATTTAATCATTCCATAATGTAACCATGTATCAAAATATCACATTGTGCCAGGCAGGTGGCTCTTTGGGAGCCACCTTTGGAAGGCCAAGGCGGGCAGATTGCTTAAGCCCAGGACTTCAAGACCAGTCTGGGCAACACAGTGGGGCTCCATGTTTACAAAAAATACAAAAATTAGCTGGACATGGTAGCACATTCCTATACTCCCAGCTACTTGGGAGGCTGAGCTTCTGGAAGGAACGAAACACTTGAGCCCAGGAGGTTGGGGTTGCAGTGGGCCAGGATTGTACTGTTACACCCCAGCCTGGGCAACAGAGTAAGACCCTGTTTTGGAAAAAAAAAAAAAAAAAAAAAACCTCAGAAAACACATCACAGTAGGGTGCAGTGGCTCATACCTATAATCCCAGCACTTTGGGAAGCTGAGGTGGGCAGATCACTTGAGGCCAGGAGTTTGAGACTTGCCTGGCCAACATGATGAAATACCGTTTCTACTAAAAATGCAAAACAATTAGCTGGCTATGGTGGTGCGTGCCTGTAGAACCAGCTACCAGGGAGGCTGAGGCATAAGAATCACCTGAATCTAGGAGGCAGAGGTTGCAGTGAGCAGAGATTGTGCCATTACACTCTAGCCTGGGTGACGGAGACTGATTCAAAAAAAATAAAATAAAATCACATTGTACCACATAAATATATACAATTATTATTTATCCTTAAAAAGATGCTCACTAAATAAATAAATAAATAAATAAATGGCAAGGGCAAGATAAGTATGTTAGTCTCAAAGTATGATGATGGGACATTTACATAAGGGAAAGACCATACATATTTCCTTGATTGTGAGATAAGCACTTTAAAAATCACTTTAATATTAATAAACGCATCTTATAATGCATTTACATATTTAATATTTTCTTTCCAAATAGCTGCTGTTACATCAATAGTGCATCTTGCAATTGATGGTATGCCAGCATTAAGAAAATATTAACAGTTTCATAAATCAATTAGCATTTCAGTTGGGTCCCAAAGGATAGGTAAGATTTAGCAGACACAGAGGATGGTTAGTAAGGGAAGTAGGTGGTAGAAACTGAGGGATTTATGAAAGCAAAGGTATATATGTAAATATGGAAAATTTCAGGCATTAATTAATAGTATAATATGGCTGAAGCATAAAATACATGCTGGGAAGTAATAAAAATACAGAATCAGAAACATGAGATCTTCAGAGACAAATGGGAATTCAGGAAGTCTGCTTACTTACATTACTTCCCAATTGGGCAGTATTTCATTGATCCAAATTACCATTGCACTTGCAATATTTTCTTCCTGCTTAAATCGTTCTTTCATTATTCTTTTTCTTTTATGTGCTTCCTTAATTTCTGTTTTAAATAAGTAAAAATTATTTCAATACAAATAAGTTAGATCAAAATCCTCTTCTCCATTTACCTAAACTCTACAAAACAGGCTTTCTCAAAAAGATTATCATAAGAGGAAGAAAGGAAATAAGGGAGGGAGGGAAGGGGAAAGGAAGGGAAAAAGCTAAAGTAAATGAACTTGATTAACATAATTTTCCTTTGTTTTCTCTTTCTTTTTTTTTTATTTTTTGAGACAGAGTCTTGCTGTGTCACCCAGGTGGGAGTGCAGTGGTGCAACCTCTGCTCACTGCAACCGCGGCCTCTGAGTTCAAGCAATTCTGCCTCAGCCTCCTGAGTAGCTGTGATTACAGGCACGTGCTACCACGCCCACTTAATTTTTTATGTTTTCTTAGTAGAGATGGGGTTTCACTGTGTTAGCCAGTATGGTCTCCATCTCCTGACCTCGTGATCCGCTCACCTCAGCCTCCCAAAGTGCTTGGATTACAAGTGTAAGCCACCATGACTGGCCTGTTTTCTCTTTTTTTTAGATACGGGTCTCACCACATTGCCCAGGTGGCCTCAAACTCCTGGACTTAAATAAATCCTCACATCTCAGCTTCCTGAAGAGCTTGGACTACACATGTGTGCCACCATGCCCAGCTATTAAATAATTTTAAAATAACATCTCCTGTTCTACTATAAAAGTAAATGGAATAAAAGGTCAGAAAAATAATTTAAGTAGATTACTTTATCACATATCACATATTTCTACTTACACTTAATCTATAAAGTGAAATATCTTACGAATTAACTATATAAAAAAATAAACAACTGTAGGTAACTAACCAATACCTATTTTTCCTACAAAGGTTTATAAATTTTCTGACATATCCCACATGACATTCAAAAATGATTTTGCCAATGGCACTATTAGTACATAGCACATGAACTCTTTTTAATATGGTGTTTCACCTTACTAATTAGTTTGAAATTTTAAAATGTCCCCCAAAACACATGTATTAAGAGTACATCTCTCAAATTCTGAGGCAAAAGTTGAGGGGAGATAATGTATCTCTGAAAATCAAAGGTCACAATTTCAGAAGAAAAGGTGTCTCAAATACAGAGGAAAATGAGTCATAAATCAAAACTTCTACGTAATTTTAGAACTAGTGAGGATGTCAGAGACCAGCTAGCCAAACTGTTTTCAAATTGTTTTTTCAGATATGCCTCAGATACCATCTTGAGGGACAAGCAGAAGGCCAAGCAAATATCTCTACTTCTATTTGTTTTACGTATTCAGATTCTATAAAAGATTTCTTGGGAGAACATTTTACTGCTTTAACAACAACAACAAAAAAGTGTTAAAAGAGAAGTTTCAAAGCCCTGATTAAGGTGGCCTGCCCTCACACTTTATGTATGAGAAAACTGACATTAGGCCTATTCAGAGTATCACTACCTATATCAAACAAGATTAAAGCTGTGGCTTTCTGATTTCTTAGTTCAATATTGTTCCTATCATACCATGCTTTTAAGATCATCCAGTACCAATAACTATGCTACATACTATTCATACAGTAAAAATATGAAAAGTCAATGAAAACTTAACTGGGGCCAGGCACAGTGGTTCACGCCTATAATCCCAATGCTTTCGGGAGGCCCAGGTGGGAGAACTGTTTGAGGCCAGGAGTTTGAGACCAGCCTGGGCAACACAGAGAGACCCTATCTCTACAAAATAACTTTTAAAAAAATGAGCTGAGGCCGGGTGTGGTGGCTCATGCCTATAATTCCAGCACTTTGGGAGGCCAAGGAAGGCAGATCACTTGAGGTCAGGAGTTCGAGACCACCGTGTCTCTACTAAAAATGCAAAAATTAGCATGGTGACAGGCACTTGTAATCCCAGCCAGTCTGGAGGCTGAGGTGAGAGAATCACTTGAACCCAGGAGGCAGAGGCTGCAGTGAGTGGAGATTGTGCTACTGCACTCCAGCCTGGGTGGCAGAGTGAACTTCCTCTCAAAAAAAAAAAAAAAAAAAAGAGCTGGGCGTGGTGCCATGTACCTGTAATCCCAGCTACTAGGGAGGCTGAGGCAGCAGGATTGCTTGAGCCCAGGAATTCAAGGCTGCAGTGAGCTATAATTGTACAAATGCACACCAGCCTAGGCAACAGAGTGCGACCCTGTCTCTAAAATAAATACATACATAATAAAAAATTAAAATTTAGGCTGGATGTGGTGGCTCGCACCATTTTAGCACTTTGGGAGGCTGAGGTGGGCGGATCACTTGAGATCAGGAGTTGGAGACCAGCCTGGCCAACATGGCAAAACCCATCTCGATAAAAAACACAAAAATTACGCCTGTGGTCCCAGCTACTTGGGAGGCTGAGGTGGGAGGATCTCCTGAGCCTAGGAGATTGAGGCTGCAGTAAACCAGGTTCCCATCACCGCACTCCAGACTAGGTGACAGAGCAAGACCCTGCCTCAAATAAATAAATAAATAAAAACTCAATTGGGTACAGAAATATTTAGAATTCTGTATAGTAAAATACACTCAACTAATGATTAAATAAGCAGGCCTTTTAGAAACATATAACTAACCTTGTATATCCTATGTTTACTTAACATTAAAGAAGTAACCATTTCCAGAATAGCACCATAAAGCAGAACTATATACTATTATAATGTTCCATTCACTTACATCAAAGGAAAAAATATCAGTTGTTAATAAGTTATTGGGTGTTAAGTCTAAAAATATATATATAGCTGTATAATATCTTCTAAAAGTGTATGTTTATCCTGAAATTACAGTTGTCAGTAAATAAGCCCTGTTAAATTACCCTGATATTATGTTTTGGTTGGAGAAGAGAATTAATAAATAAATTTGTAAATTTATACACACAAAAGTATACATTTATGTGACTAATCAAATGACACAATTGGGCCTCTGGAGAGACTCTGTAAGTCACAAAAGAATATTTTAGTTTCAAATCATATTCTCACAGCCACACAGAAATTTAAAATTATTAATCATAAAATAATTAGAAATTAAGAATTATCAAATTATAAAATATAAAAACTGTTAAAAAGTAAAAATCATTAATAGATTCAGAAATAATATCTTTATTTATAAACAAAGATAGTAGTGGTCCAAGTTTTATGACTGTAATCTCAAGATTCCTCCTATTAGTTTGTAAAAGTACATGCAGAAAAACTATGATCCTGATATGTCATTTTATCCCTCCTTTAGAACAAACTTAATTATAAAAATAATAGAGAAAAATAAAAGCCTAGGCAACATGGTAGAAAATAGCAGAGAAAAATAAAAGCCTAGGCAACCTCATCCCCTCAAACAATACAAAAAATTAGCCAGGCATGGTGGCATGTGCCTGTGATCCCAGCTACTAGTGAGACTGAGAGGTAAGAGGACTGCTTGAGCCTGGGAGGTCGGGCTACAGTGAGCTGTGATTGTGTTACTGCATATCAGCCCGGACAACAGAGCAAGGCCCTGTCTCAAAAAAAAAAAAAAAATTCAGTATCATCTTGAAGATAGACTTGATCAATTTTACCATCCATCTTCCTGATAAAATCAGAAAATTAACTATACCATTTGGAGTTAAATTTTATACCTCGTTTTTTAGCTTCAGCCACCATCTCATCATATTCTTGTCGGTGACGTAAAGCTTCTTCCACAGATTTGGCAGGAAGATTTCTGGAAAAAAAATTCTTAAGTCAAGCCAGTTTTTAAAAGATTAAACTTATTAACTTCTTTCTTTTTATAACCAGATACAAAGAATTCCTAACCTAACCTCATTTCATACATTAAGGAAGTGAAAGGCTGAAAAGAACTGTGAATTTTAGAACAGAATCAGAATCCAGGTTGTTAATATGTATTGCATGTATGTGTGTGTGTGTGTGTGTGTGTGTGTGTGTGTGTATTTCTATGTCATGTGTATGTAAGTTTGTATACATTTAAACATTTCAGATTTTTTTTTTTTTTAATAGAGATGGAGTCTCCCTATGTTGCTTAGGCTGGTCTCAAACTCCTGGGTTGAAGTGATCCTCCTGCCTCAGCTTCCCAAAGTGCTGGGATTACAGGTATGAGCCACTGAGCCCAGTCCATTTCAGATTTCAGTCAATACATTTAGGTTATTTGTTAAACCCACATACTAGAGTTTTCTTTAGCCAACTTTCTTTGAGATATAATTTTCATATAATAAAATCAATAAACATATTTTAAGAGCAGTTTGAGTCTTGACAAATATATGTACCTGTGCAGCCAACTAACCAATCAAGATATAGAACATTACCATCATTCCACTAAGTTTCTTTGTGATACCTCAATACTTACCCACCTCACAAAATCACTGCTTTGATTTCTATCACTATAGATTAATTTTTTCCCTCTTCAAGAATTTTATAGACTCCTATGTCTAGTTTTTTTGTTTGTTTTTAATTTACACTGAAGGACTAATGTCTGGCTTATTTTGCTCAGCACAGTTCTAAAAATCATTCATGTTATTTTATTAATAATGTATTCCTTTTAAATGCTGAGTGGTATTCCATTTATCCATGCAGGTAGACACTTCTATTCTTTCCAGATTGGGGCCATTACTAACAAAACTACTATAAAAATTAACATCAAGTTTTTGTGTAGGCATTTGCTTTCATTTTCCTTAAACAGAATTCTTGGGTAATATAATAAATGCAGATATACCTTTACAACAAACTGTCAAACTGCTTTTCACTAATTAGAGTTTTAAAACAACATTTAACTAAAAACTGGATCATCCATCATTTGCATACTCTTTATCCTTGGGAGTTATGTTCCAAGACCTCCAGTGGATGCCTGAAACCTCAGATAGTAACAAACCCTATACATACTAGGTTTTTTCCTACACATACATAAAGAACTATGATAAAGTTTAATTTAATTGAGATTAAGTTAACCCAGCACAATATGTTTCCATCAATTGGAACACATTTTTGTTAAGATCTTCCACCCATAAATTTAATGCCTTTTCAATTGTAACTAAATATTTACCATGCATTCTGGCAGTAACTGTTACAATTTAAGGTGCGACAGTAACATTAGCATAAATTTCTTTTTCATTATTCACAATTTCATGGAAAGAAGATTGATTCTTACCACAGATCTTAGCAACTTCAGCATACGATTTTTTTTCTTATTAAATTGAGAACTCTCATCTTTAGCTTAAAGGAGGAACTTTACAGCTACTTCTTGGCATATCTGAATTATTAGCATTAATATCTAAATTTTCAGCATTACTACACTTAAGCTTAAGGGGCATTATTACGTACAATAAGGGTTATTTGAAAACAAGCACTGTGATATCACCAACAGTCAATCTGACAACCAAGAAGGTTGCTAAGTGAACTACCAGGTAGGTGGTATATATAGTGCAGATACACTGGTCACATGTCCCTGGCAAGATGGAGCAGGACAGTGTGAGATTTCATCAAGCTACTCAGAATGGCATGCAATTTAAAAATTATAAGTTATTTCTGGAATTTTCCACTTAATGTTTTCAAACCACAGCTAACTGCAGGTAACTGAAATTGCCTTAAGCAAAACCACAGATAAGGGGTAACTACTACACCATAGTAGTTTGGCTTCACAGTCAGTGATTTAGACACAAAAAATGCAAAAGTAAATACAATGGTCTATAAACACTTATCCAAATATAATCACAATAATGTCCAGTTTTAGGAGTCAGTTTTTTTCTTTTTAACAGTCTAGTACGGAAAAAGATATGTGACAAACTTTCAAATCATAAATTCTACCTCCTCTTCTCAAATTAGTCAAATTGATCAGGTATGTTGTAGGAGGGAGGAATGAAGGTTAAGACTTCTGCTTCAGGCCATAGTGGAATAAAAGAAATCAGGTTTACCCTCTCCCCTTAAGTATTAAAAAATGGACAAAATATATTAAACTATAGTTCCCAGACAACAGACACTGGGCAGCACAAGACAGTGATGTTTAGGAGAAAGAAAATAAGCAAGGTAACCCTACAAGTACTTTACATTTCCACGTCTCAGTGGTGAAAGGCAGGGCCCAAACAAAGTCCATCAATCCTCCTAAGGTGAGGAGACGGTTTAGAGTTGGAGAGTCCAAGACAGCTAAAAGTTACAAATCAGAAAACCAGAAAGAAGGGAGGTGCTGAAGAGTCCTCTCAGGTCTTCGGCTAGGTACTGATCTGTGCATGTGTGTGATTAAACTACAGCCAGAAAAAGAACCACCAGAAAAAAATAGGACATTCTCAAAGTTCACACAGAACCAGCCAGAGTGGAAAGACCACCTGATAGATAAGAGCACCAGGTAGAGTCCTTAGAAGGATAATGCCTCAGTAATGAGGACAAATTACTCCTAAACTAAAAGCTATTCTGAAACCACTCTAACAAAGATTAGGTCAAAAGGATTAAACTATTTCAAAAAAAACTGCCAACCAGACTAAAGCCAAAAAGCATTTAAAAGAACACACAAAAAAGTCCAGCATCCACCTATGTAAATCACAATGTCTGTCATTCAATAGTAACAGAGATGTAAAGAAGCAGAAAAATACAATGCATAATGAGAAGAAAAATTAATCAACTGTCACAATATAAAAATGTTACAGATAGTAGCATTATAACACAAGGATGATAAAATAGCTGTTATAAATATCCTATAGGCATACCTTATTATACTGTGATTTGCTTTATTACATTTTGCAAATATTGCATTTTTTACAAATTGAAGGTTTGTAGCAACCCTAATGTCAAGCAAGTCAGTTGGCACCATTTTCCAACAATGTGCTCACTGTGCATCTCTGTATCACATTATACTAATTGTTGCAATATTTCTTTTTTTTCTTTTTGAGCCGGAGTTTCACTCTCATCACCTAAGCTGGAGTGCAATGCTGCGATCTTGCCTCACTGTAACCTCTGCCTCCCGGTTGATTTCAAGCAATTCTCCTGCCACAGTCTCTCGAGTAGATGGAATTACAGGTGCCCATCAGCATGACTGGTTACATTTTCTGGTAATTTTAATAGAGATACAGTTTTACCATGTTGGTCAGGCTGGTCTCGAACTCCTATCCTCAGGTGATTTGCCTGCTCCAGCCTCCCAAAGTTCTGGGATTACAGGGGTAAACCACCACACCCAGCCAATTCTTGCAATATTTCAAACTATTTCATTATCATTGCTATTTGTTATGGTGATCTGTGATCAGTGATTTTTGTTGTTACTATTGTAACAAGAACAACAACTATTGTGGCTGTTTTGAGGTAGCTCAAAGAAATTCCAGATAACACAGCGGAGGGATTCAGAATTTTATTAGAAACCTAACAATGTATCTTAAGGAACTAGAAAAGCTAGAGCAAACCAAATCCAAAATTAGTAAAAGAAAAGAAACCCAAAAATTAGCTGGGCATGGTGGCATGTGCCTGTAGTCCCAGCTTCTCAGGAGGCTGATTTGAGAAGATGGCCTGAGCCTGGGAGGCCAAGGCTACAATGAGCCATGTTCATGCCAATGTACTGCAGCCTGGGTGACAAAGTGAGACCATGTCTCAACCAAAAAAAAAAAAGAAAAAGAAAAGAGCACAAATAAATGAAATCGAAGCAAAGAAAACAATATAAAAGATCAACAAAACAAAATGGTTTTTTTTTTTTTTTTTGAGACGGAGTTTCACTCTTGTTACCCAGGCTAGAGTGCAATGGCGCGATCTCGGCTCACCGCAACCTCCGCCTCCCGGGTTCAGGCAATTCTCCTGCCTCAGCCTCCTCAGTAGCTGGGATTACAGGTACGCACCACCATGCCCAGCTAATTTTTTGCATTTTTAGTAGAGACGGGGTTTCACCATGTTGACCAGGATGGTCTCGATCTCTTGACCTCGTGATCCACCCGCCTCAGCCTCCCAAAGTGCTGGGATTACAGGCTTGAGCCACCGCGCCCGGCCACAAAATGGTTTTTTAAAAAGAAAAACAAAATTGAGAAACCTTTAGCCAGACTAAGAATAAAAGACAAAAGACCCAAATAAATAAAATCTAAGATGAAAAAGGAGACATTACAACTGATGCTACACAAATTCAAAAGATTGTTGGTGGTCACTATGAGCAACTGTGTGCCAAGGAAATGGATAAATTTCTAGACACATACAACCTACCCAGATTGAACCATGAAGAAATACAAAACCTGAACAGACCAACAGCAAGTTACAATGGAATAAAACATTTAATTATGGAGCTATAATTAAAAATCTCTCAGTAAAGAACAGCCCAGGACCTGATGGCTATATTCTATCAAACATTTAAAGAAGCACTGAACTGACACCAATCCTACTCAAATTACTTTCAAAAACAGAAGAGGGAATACTTATGAATCACTCTACGAGGCCAGTATTACCCTGATACCCAAACAAGACAGAGACATATCAAAAAAAAAAAGGTGGGGGGGGGTGAAATACAGGCCAATATTCCTAACAAATAAGGATGCAAAAATCCTCAACAAAATATTAGCAAACTAGATTCAACAATACATTGAAAAGATAATTCATCATGACCAATTGAGACTTATCCCTGGAATGTTACGTCTATTTCAATGTATGCAAATCAATCAATGTGATACATCATCTCAATAGAGAGAAAGACAAAAACTGTATGACAGTTTCAACTGATGCTGAAAAAACATTTGATAAAATTAAACATCCTTC